AGCCGCACCGTCCCCGTGCCCCCCCTCCGGCGGGTGCTGGGTGAAGGAAGAAAGGGGCGCTCGGAGGGGGGCGGGAGTTTTTAATGGAGACCCTCTGGAAAGTAATCTGCAGGGGTGTCGGGGGGGAGGGATAAACGCCCTCCCCGGCTCCGCTCCTGCTTCCGTGCGGGAGCCCCAGAGGGACGCGGTGGAGGCAGGTGGCTGGGAGAGGGGGCAAGCGCCCGGGGCTGCTTTTTTAAGGCTGAGAGGGGGTTATGCGCTCGGAGGGGGGCGGGAGTTTTTAATGGAGACCCTCTGGAAAGTAATCTGCAGGGGTGTCGGGGGGGAGGGATAAACGCCCTCCCCGGCTCCGCTCCTGCTTCCGTGCGGGAGCCCCAGAGGGACGCGGTGGAGGCAGGTGGCTGGGAGAGGGGGCAAGCGCCCGGGGCTGCTTTTTTAAGGCTGAGAGGGGGTTATTAGGCTTGGCGGGGGGGGCTGCTTGCTTTCCTCCTATTCTTACAACTGTTTCAACCCCAGAGCTTCTCCCCTGTCTCACCTGCTTTGTCCCTCCGGCGGCAGCAGCAACTTCTCACCTGTCTCCGTTGGAAAGCAATAAGAGAAAAAAAAAAAGAAGAAAAAAAAAAAAAAAGAGCCCAGCCCAAAGCCCCCCCCGCCCCCCGCCAGCCAAAAGGAATCCCCGGCAGCTTTCCCGTCTCTCACCTGTTTCAGCCCTAAAGCAGCAGCTATGTCTTCCCTTCCCTCCCCCGGCTCAGCCCTCAACCAGCAGCAGGAGCAGCCGCTTCCCACTCGCCCTCGCCCGGAGTTCAGGATTCCATTGTCCCCCACACTGCACTTGGTGACATCACTGACACACAAAGAAGGGGTACTTCGTGATGTCATCAACGCATGCTGGGAGAGAAAACAAAATCTTGGGCTCGGGGCTTGGCAGCGACAGCACGAAAAAAACCCCTTCGATTTTCCAAAGGTATTAGGGATTTTTTTTTTTTTTTTTTTTTTTTTTTTTTTCCCTTCCCCCCCGCTCCCCGTTGGGGGGCCACGTTTC